CATACATTCACAATGAGTATTTTATTCTCAACATCAAAATCATGTCATTTCATCAAATTTCATGAATATTTCCGGACTGTGGTAACGCAAAACGGGTTTCATTGGGATACCTAGTAATATACAGAAATGATCAAAAAGTCATATTAAACATCCTTTAGAACAAAAAATACACAAGAAAACCATCTGAAACTCCATTTAGCCATTGTCCATGACATTTATTGTCAATATCCCATAAAAAATACTGCATACAATGCTTTATATCTCAAATATGCTTTACCAAAATACGCATTTTGTTAAAAATCGATAAAAACTGTTGGCAGGGAAATCGTAAAATATGATCAAATGTCACATTTTGGCCAGGCATAACTTTAAAACTAAACAAAGAAAATGCATGAAACTTTGCAAACTTACTAACATCTATGAGTAGAGTGAGTCTAATTTTTTTCTCAAGATAATTCATAATATATTTTAAGATATGGGCCTTTAAAATATGCAAATTAGGTAAATATGACCAATGTCCGAGAGAAAAATGCCAAAAAGCTAAAATAAAATTAAAGTGCTTCAAATTGTAATTAGATTTACTCATAAAATTAATATAATGATATATAAAGTGATTATAGTGATATTTAAATTATATATATATATATATACAGTACAGACAGGAAATATCGCTTCGTATCTGCGCGTAACCTCTCGTAGCCTGCTCGTAGGTACAGTTTGGAACGTAGCTACGAACCACTACGAAGGTCATTGTTATTTTAATTAGCTTTGCAATGATCGTAGGCTGGATCGTCGGGCTGATAATCAATGCATAAACAATATTGAAATATAGTTTACCAGCTTTCAACACGTAAGCAATGTTGCAATTTACTAAATAAACAATGTTAGAACTTTATTTTGTTATATCCTACCTTAATATTAAATCGATCATGTTTTTAAACTGTGTTTAGTTCGCTAGCTGGGTGGGTAACCTAAGTGGGCATTCAGTATGTCATTTAGGCTTACGTACGGCCTACATTTTCCCCTATAGAGGAGGAGAGCAGACAGTAGTTATACTGGTAAACTTTCCAATTCGGAGAATTTTGATCTGATATTATTCTTCTGGTAGTATGAATTTTCTTCTTTTAAATAATACTGATGACAAATCATGTACAAATTATTACGATTTCTACAGATCAAGTTGTTTATTGTTTGCTGTAATTTGAAGCAGAACAACCTGCAAAGCGATCCAATACTAAATGGAAGTATAGAAATCACTACCTTGCCGAATTAAGGCTAGTCATGCTAGACTGTATTTACTCAGTTTTTTACTCACTGTTGCTTTTCAACATTTGCCACGAGGTTAACCTTTAACACACTTTACTGTGTTCTGATTGGCGCGCACCCTGACGTCTAATGCTGGCTAAGTTTTATTTTTCATTGGGTTTTCCATGTGACATTCGGTAATTTTACAACCAACGGACGTTAAACTCCTTTATATTTATTATTTATCTTACTAAATCAAGACTACAAAATATTATTTGATGAACAATCTTTTCACATGTGTGTATTGCCATTGAGGACATGGTTTTTTGACATTTTAAATGAGGTAAAATAATTGTAAATGAAAAATAAGCTAGGCCTAGGCTAATTAATAAAAAAAAAAATACAGCAGTACAAATAAGTCTGTCGTGGACAGCGAGTGGAAGAGGAGACTCCCATGAAGTCAAGTGTACGTTTTTCTTATTGAAAAACAGTTCCATACTTTAAATTATCGGTCTAAACTCGTGTTTGCCATTCACAAATTATCAAACAATACATTGTTTATTCCAGTAAGCTACAGCAGTCTTTCTGCACATACAAATAAACAACATGCTTTTGCTTCGTAGGTTCGTTTCGCGTAGCCTTGCTTAGATTGTTTATATCAGGCTACGAAGCCTGCGCGCAGGTTAGATTGTTTATATCAGGCTACGATGTATCTACGAAGCCTGCGCGCAGGTAAAAGTGCAATATTTCACGACTCTAGATGTGTATAAGAGACAGGAAATACCTATCTTGTTGATAGATAGCCATTCCATATCATATTGACACTTCCAACTTGACTGATTTGAGGCTATCAATTTCATCTATAATGCGAATGTTCTACTCATGCTCAGTACAACTTTAACATAATAACTGTTAAAAGGTAAACAACAAAGCATATACTTGTCTCTTATACACATCTTGGCGGATAAGGAGGGGGAG